GAAGTATTAATTAATAAAAAACTAAATTATAAATTTGCCTATAAATGGAAGCTTAACTTGTAGATTTTAAATCATTTTGCCGTTGTTTCGTGTCAATTTAATTATTTGCATAGTTGTTGCTTAAGATTGGATTTTCCCTTGGGAAAAATATTCAATCGTTTGATCCATTTATATTACTTAAACCTAAATATCTATACAGGTTTATGTCAAGAACGGATGAATCAATTTGCGCTTAAATTCCTTTTGATTTAATAAAGCATAGGAATAATGCCCAACTTTAGCATTTAAAGCGATAAATTTAAAAGCATATTTGCGAAGGAAGCTAAACAAACTAAGCTGAATAACTTATTCATTTGTAAATATATAAAAGCTTTATATAAGCCTTCATTTAATTTTCTTGAATCCTTGCTCCATAAGTATTGCATTTACAACTTTCTCTGGTTAGCAATCTCCGTGCTACGTACTCCCAGAAACAGAGAAAATAGATGCTGGATGGTAAATGGGGGTTTGCTGATCTTATCTAAGAGGTTTCATGGTAATGGTGTATTCTGTTCACGGATCACATTGCATGGTTGACAGGAAAATATTTAGTCATAAAACGATGAGCCATTTGCCCGTAGACGAGACACAAAGATAATTTTGAACAATTAATGAATTTTATTACTTCACTTAACTAGAAGATAACTTATCCGGAACTCTTAAGTTTCCCTAGTACAACTATTCCTTTTCAAGAATGTACTATATCACAATTTTTAAAAAGATTAAGTTTGAATTACAAACAATCTGCTACATGTCAGTTAGAGAAAAATAAAGAGTTACCAACAGCAAATTCATTTCAAGTCGAAGATAAATTTTATCATTGCCCTTGCCATTTTTCGTATTAACTCGCATAAATAAAATAGATGATGGGGCTATTGTCTTTGCCATGTTTCTTTGGCAAGTGAGCCTCAATAGGGTTTGAAACTTCACTTTAGTCTTCGCCCATGCTCTGGCAACATTCCAGGTAGTCAATGCATAAATGTGGTCTGTAAACTGTTGTAAATTGCACCACTTAAACAAATTACTGTGCATCACCAGAAAGCTAATGTGATGCTATGAATTTAGATACATTATCATCAAGATATGAAGATGGTACTACCTCGAGGATGGTCATTTCACAAGTACTAAATCATATTTATATTTATTAATGTGCGCTTGTATACGAAAGATATTTGAAAAATCCATCTAAAAGTTTATAAGTTATGCAGTAACTGAATAAAACAATCTTTGATGTTTTAAATTGTCCTACAAGTTTGTAGGTAAAGGAATATTTGAATATAATTTTAGGACTAAATAATGTTAAATAGTTCCGTCATTGTCTGGGTAAAGACAAACTGGTACCATGCATTATACAGAAGAAATTCGGAAATAAAATTGGTGTCTTATTAGGGGTGAAGCTTAGTCCTTTGTTGCACAATAATTTATAAATGATAAAGAATTATTAAGCTTAATTTATATACTATTAGGGAGAATTACAGATTAATAAGAAAGCATATTAAAAATAATAAAAAAAAAATATATTACTTTAAGTAGCAGGCATGATTTAAAATGATCAATGTAAAGTAAAATCGTACAAGCGGATTGATTGCGTCATCTGTCTTTAGCTATGGAAGAGGAGATCTCGAAGATCTCTCCAGTCTGAACAATCAACCAAATAATCTTTTTGACATCGCAGTTTGATCTGGTAGCACCAGAAGTACTCGACCATAGTGAATGTTTCATTTATCCACAAAACACTTCGTATTTTAGGCATCATATTTTTTCTGCTGGTCACCTTTATCCATAAAGGTGAAGCTCCTCAAAACAGGTCGTTCAGGGTGTCCACATAAAATTGTGCTCCCGTTGTTTTATCTATTTTGTTGGCAATATTTTTAATGCATGCTATCCTAAGCTGCATATGAACGCTTATCCTAATTGTGAAACGTATCCCGTTAAGCATAATTTAATAAGATACCTCAAATACTGGGATGGTCTGGCACTTATTTGTTCACAGTGCTCTTACGCTGTATATAATTGGTTTGAACTCATCTTCATAAAATGGTATTGTTTTCTGAAAGACCTTGATTATCCAAACCTGTCAGGCGTCCTCCTTATTTTATGCCTAGAAATTATTATGATTCTAGTGTCAAAAGATGTCAAAAAATGTGAGTCCATAGAGCTCTCTTTGAGAACATGACCGAATTACGAAAAATAAGTGTAACCAATCATAGCAGAAATGCATTTTGATATTAAAAATTGCATCCTGGCAAAATAGTTGTAATCAGCATTCGCTAAACACTGACTACGAATATAAGGTGTCCCTAAGGGATAGCTTAAAAATGTTAAGTTTCAATTTGCTTTATGGCATTTATAAAATAGTAATTAGAAGACTATGCTAATCGTTTATGCGCATAATTATGGGTATCTACTAATAATGCTTTTATTAGATATTTTTTGTCTTATGATAAGGGCGTTTATTATGTGCATATACACATTTGTGTAAATATATCTATTTACAATGGAAACAGTTTTCAATTGCCATGCATAACCCACTTTTGATTCCATTTGAAAAATCTTCCTTTGGAGACTGCGCACCTCCTCACGAAGAGCACGTTCCCTAAGGGCACTGGCCTCGATTTCCGTCGCACGTTCAGCACTTAAACTCTCCAATTTGTTCAAATGTCGCTGTAGTGTATTACATCGGTTTTCCAGTCGGTGTAGCTGCAATAGAAGGTATACATAAACTGTAGAAGAAATAGTAATGTCTGTCATTTAAATGTAATTAATATAATGCTTTTGATTAACTTTAAAAGATCTCAATGCAATTTCCGATTGTTCAGCCAAAGCTTCGCCGTGAACTTGGATTCCGTAGATGTGAGAAATATTTTGGAACCCAGAGATTACAGGCTAGCGACATGTATGCTTGAGGTGCACTCTTTTGATTGGTTTTTAATTATATTCATACTAAATCTCGAAACCATCTTTTTCACTAGACCACTAATGGTTCAGCAAGCAATTAATTTAAGACATGTATTTTCTGCGTCACAAATATAATAGGAAAGAAGACAGACCAACTTCACGTTGTTGGGGGTTGATCGGCGCAATTAGAGTCACTTTGTCACTTTGCTTAATTTGATGGCTGCAACCTATGGCGTATTGGTGAGTAAAATTATTATTATAAGAAGGTATTTCATTAATAAATACTTATTCTTAACTAATGAGAGTCACTTTAACCGATCGCTAAAAAATAACTAATTTTGCGGTTTTATTGCCGTTGGTTAATTTATATAAAATGAGGTGCCTAACTACATGTTAGCAACGATTTTGTTATGTATTTGCTTACTTGAACATCAAGACTGCTTTTATTATGTCCCATAAAATGGCTATTAATTACTCATCCCATTGACATCAGCTAATTATTCTGGAAGGAACTCATAGATCATGCTGTATTGTGAACATTTAAACTAGAACTTGGCATCTTGACATACGTAGAGACAGACTAAACGAATTCATTGGCCCTGATCTATCAATGAGGTTGTTGTGATTCCCACCATTCACTTGATCACATCATCCAATTACCCCCTGGTCTAACCTCAATCTGTGTCTCTCTTAGCTGAAGTAGAGCCCTAGTTTCGCCTTGTTTCGCCCTCAATGCCGTAAGCCGTAGGTCTTGCCGTGGTCCCGACATGATACCCGCGACTCCGGAGGTCGACATCCAAGAGAGTGACTCGCGAAAGGACGAGCGCAACCGCAAAAATGACAATATCCCGCCACCAGCACTAGCAGAAACACCAGCACTACCAGCATCACCAGAACCAGAGCAAGCACCAGCAGCAACAGATACGAAGTTGTTAAGTGTGCCAGAACTTTGATCAATGGAGATCTTCGTGTCAACTCCTGGATAGTGGAACACCGCCTCAACGGGTGATTGTCCCAACTTCGGGTCGCTCGGCACTGGTGGTGTTTGAGTGCTGGTCTGCAGTAGAACAGGACGCTCGACGCGATTGCTCTTGGTGCGTCGCAGGGCAGTTGAGTTACCAACGCCCCCAGCTCCGTTGTCATATGAGTGGAAATCGCCAACAAGTTTACATGCTGTTTGGGTGGGTCCGGTCTCGATTGACTCGTGCTTGGCAGGTTGCATGGAGGATCGCATCCGTTGCACTCGAACCGGACCAGTGGTCAAGATTGTGGCAGCTTTGGTCTTCGACTTGGGCGCCTCGCATCTGATTCGATGTCCTTTATCGGCAGAAGGCTTTGGCTGGGTTGTTGAGCCGCTCCAGTCCTCCGAAATGCCGGAGATCTCGGCTCCAGCCTTGAAATTGCTAGAATCTGGCTCAGAAACATGAGGTGATTCCATCCGCAATTTGGGTGTGGTTGAGGCCGGGACAACAGACATTTCTGAGGCTGACAAGGCAACAGTCTGAAGGGAGGAAATGAGATGGCCGTCCAATGTTAGAAGACTGGCCAACGAGCAGCCGGAATCGCTCTGTGGAGAATCAAGTCCGGACCGAGAATTAGGAGCGGAAGAGATGCCGGTATCAACAGGAAAAGTAAAGGGATCAACAGTGCAACGAGCTATATGGTTAAGGGTTAAAGGAATAAGGAAAAAAAGAATATTGAAGGAAGATAAAAAATATAAAATAATGTGCACTATATTAGAAAAAGAAAAGTAGGAGGATATGAAATAAAATGAAGAGGTAGAAGAGAATAGAATATATGTAAAGAATAAAACTAATAAGATGAGATAATAGTAAATGAAGAAAGATTATTTATGATGACAAAAG